AAAAAAGCGAAGGCACTTTAGAGGTTCCGCTGATTCATCAACCGAATTGAAAAGAGGGAACAACATGTACACTCACTTTTACAATTGCATTGCTTTCGCGCACGGCATACATGCTCGCATCAGCCAGGGACCAGACGAATTCTTGTGCCTGACCGAACGTCTTGTTTCGCAAGGCCATGGCCGTATAAACAATATACTCACCATCACCGCAAACCACAACGAAACGACCGTTGGCATTGTGCTCGATAGTTTGAGGATAGATGTCACTCGTACCCATTTCTTTGAAGCTAACTGGGAGACGTTCACCATCCTGGCCCCAGGTAAGAAACGAACAGGAAGTTATGAACGATTACTAGTGGAAGAAATAAAAATGACAATAATGCGGCATATATTTTTGAATAGCAAAAACCGATTAGAAAGGTATGAAGTTGGACACTGAAACCATGTTTTAAGTGTGTCTGATACAAATAGGTTAACCTGATTAACAACGTCTCACTCATTGCCAAAAGTTGAGTTGTAGTTACGTAACAACGGTTTGGAAGAGAAAGCGGCATCCATGTGTTTTGTTGTCATGAGGTGTTTTGCAATTTATAACCTCTGGTTATGTGACCGTCTGAGTACTGGATGGGGGTTGCGTCATTGACTTCAGCAAACGCTTTGGAATGTGTTCGGCCATCTGTTCTGATGATTGACGGTTGTTTTTGCCTATGTATGCATCGTCGCAATTGCCTGTGGACTGGTATAGTGTGAGAAAGAACTGGATCGCCAACCATGTATACGTTTGTCCAAATTCATTCCACCTGTAGAGGCAATAAGTCGAAGTTGAGCAGCTGGGTATGTGCGGTTCAGAGCTCACTTAAACTTTTGCGCACATCGGTCAGGTGATCGCCCTTGAAAGAATTTGATATAGACGGTTATCTGGGGAACAATTGGGGACGGGTTACTTCTTTGAGATGATTCACTATGGCAATAAGCGAGACGTCCCTAATCTGATTGCATTATCCCGTTCTGTGCGCCCAAAAGTTGTTGACGCAACTTGGTTACACAAAAACCGTCTTTAATATTTTACTACGTTTGACTAACTACTCGTGAGTAACCTAATTTTCTAATCCATGGAAATTTTTGTCTTCGATACGCCGTACTTCAATCAATCAAGTCTTTACCTTCACATATCCAGGATTTCTTCGCAAAACAAATGCAATTCCGACTAACCTGCATGTCATCCGTGCCATCCGCGTTGAGCGATAACGAACGTAAATTCGCTTGTACGAGTTCCGCATGCCGAGCGCAAACTAGTTTGCCCGATGCATCCATGGACATAGCTGGCTCGTCTCGTCCAAGAGNAGCCGATACCGACCAACTGCTTTCCTCGATGGCATACCATAGCCCATATTCGCTCCATACCATAATTTAGAGTGGACTCCAGACGATAGGTACTCGAGTGCCACACACGGACAGTCCCATCTTCCGACCCGGTCAAGATAATCGGTAATTCAGGATGAAAAGTGACCGCACTGAGTAAGAGATATGAATGTTTTTAGGAGTGAAGCGATTACCGCGGTATGACAGAGCAGTCTCGAATACTTATTGAAAACAATCGTCTAGAAAGTGTATCGGGGACTGAATTCGCAAATTGAATTCGCGATGTGGATGAACGCTGATATAATCACCGACAAAAAAACAAGTGTATAGCACTTGGTGGAGAAAATTTTCCTTAAAAGCTATTACGAACATTAATGGATAAATCTACTGGCCTTTGAGTTGAATGTATTTATCGATTATGACAGAACAGTGAAATGAAAGAGGTGAAGACCTAGACTTAGGCATCAAGATACTGCAGTAGTCCCAATATTTGTAGAACCATGGACAAAATAAAATTGGTTTAATCGATGAGAAGTCACCTCATACTACACAATAATTGTGAACTACAGTGAACAAAAATGTGATCAAAAATTACTGTAATGAAGGTTTTGAAAACAGAATGTTTTTCTTGATTATTTGCAGTTTAAATTTGAGGAAATAGGAGAACAATGATGCCTAGAAAACATTTGGTCCTAGATGGTAACCAAGCTAATCAATCCGGGGCAATATCGAACTGCGAAGAAGTTAAATGGAGTCATATCTAAGGGAGGGGAATACGCAGAGAAGTTAGCAGGGCTGGTAAATCAATACAACTAGCAGAGTCGAAGTTGCCTCCCATAAATAGATCGAATCGTGAAGCTTATGTCTAGTAAAGGAACGTATTGTGGCAGTGAAATTAACGAGCGCGACAAGAACAAACTCGAATAAGGAAAAGCAAAAAAAACAACTGCAATTACATACCTGATATTTTGCGCATGACCCTCGAGAGTTTGTACACAGGCCTTAGTTTGATAGTCCCAAATCTTCACAGTACGATCGTCCGAACCGCTAGCTAAGTAAGGTTTATCTCCGAACAGATAATAATCGACACAGTTAACTCCACGTTCGTGTCCCTCCAGAGTGAAATTAGGAGTAGGTGAACCGAGGCTCCAGACTTTGACCGTGTGATCCAAAGAAGCACTGGCAAACGTGTTATTGTCTTTCGGGTTAAACACTAATTGCATCACATAATGGTTGTGCCCCTCGAATACCTAGTAACAAAAGAACAAAGGAAGATGAACAATGAAGAATGGGAGAATCTCGGAAACACCTTAGTGTGATGAACAACAAACGGGGAAGGCCCCATAGTTACGAGGACCTGCTGTTCAGTGATGGAAACTAGCTCCGGGACTTGGAGTGGCGAACCACTTTAGGTCCCGTAAGGTTAGGCATGGAATTGAACTGGACGACATCAAGGCTGCCTAACACTATCATGATCGTAAAATAGTCCCATAGACGATGTAGAGAAAGTTATTCGCGAAGAAATTTCCTTTCTATATATCGCATCAGGCGTTTACATATATAAGGTGATCATAACACAGATGTCTGATTGGCCGATTAGAGCTCAGTTAGTACCGATGACAGAGGCGAGCAAACAGATCAAAAGAATATGACAAGGCTAATGATAGTCATGGGTGGGGGTTAGGGAGGAGGTGGAGGTTGATGCTCTGTTTTATGCACAATGAATCCGCTGTCCAGGCCAGGGCAACAACAGTGTCTGGACCAGCTTTTTTTGCTTACACAATTCTGGATTGAAAATGCGAATTGCAATCGCATTGGCCGTGGTTAAAAGCCGCCTTCTTATCCCCTTGGAATATCTCCGATGTACAGTGTGAATAATTTTGAATGCATCCAATTTGTTCACAAAATGCCCGCTATCGACGAGATGACCGAGAACCGAGCAGCGAATACATCTAACCGCTCCTTTGTAGAGGGCCGCAGGACAGTGCTCAGCAATACTTTTTGATAGTCGCTCGGTCGTATGCTCAATGTATCGCACACTACAAGTGCACGTGAAATGATATAAAACGAAGGATTTGGACTGAAGAGGTAAATTATCTTTAATTTGCTGCGACACCAAGGGCCGAGTGGTAGTTAGGATATAGGGTTGAGCTGCAGGGTGCGTTCTAGAGATCACTTTGGACAAACGTCCTTTGAGAAGTTCCAGGGTATCGTCGCCTTCAAACGGCACTGTAAGGAAAACGTTCTTGTGAGGAACGGTCGGGTTTTTGCTCGTGTTGGTCTTCAAATGTATGTGTCCCGTTACGACGAGACTGCACCTTGATGTGGTGTGATGGCTTGTGCACCTCTCTGACTCGACGAGCAACACAGCATGGCTTTTGTCAAACCACGTGATCTCACTGTGCCTGGAAGGTCGAAGGGGAGAGGTCGGACGAAGTCCAGTCTCCTGGTCCTCCAGGTTGGGGGTTCGATTAGAATTTACGTTTCAGTCGGTAAAAATGGTGGAGGACTAATCGATCCCAGTAAATGGGCCTCCACTTCGCTTCACCCACTGCCTTGCGGTTAGATTCTTGTTAGAACTAAAAGCTTTGGACGAGAACCCTAACCGTTCTGCTTAGTGGCTGGGCACCCTAGAAGTACCCGTCCATCAAACCCCAATGCATACACAAAATAAAAATAATTTCATACTGCATCGGTCGTCGCGCAGAATAATCAGGACCGCGCTGCTCAGTGCATCGAGAGAGGTGGGTAGTGATAAATGGGTTACTGCTCAGATATCCCAACCTTCGTTTAACTCTTTGTCTTCAGTACCCAGTCCCCTCAATTTTCCCCTTCTTCCAACCTGTAGTAGTCCCTCAACCAAGTTAGATGTCGCTCGCCAAAGGTCGTTACCAAATAGCACAGTAAGTAATGTATCACAAAACGAATTGCAGATTCGAAAACCTCACCAATCACTGAATCTGGGGCTTTCAGCGTGAGGACGCTGAAGTAGGTAGGTCAACAAGCTTCAATACCACGCCTAACCTATCGGGACCTTATGTGGTTCGCCACTCCAAGTTCCGGGGCTTAGGTTGCCGATTTCAACCACTGAACAGCAGGTCCTCGTGACTATGGGGTTTACCCCGTCTGCTGTTCATCGCACCTAGGTGTGCAATAAAAAAAGCTTGTCTGGCTCCGACAATGAAATCCGTAGGGATCGATATTTGCTGCGTGTCAGAGACTCGAATCCAAGATCCTACTACTATAAGCCACTGGAGTGCGCCAGATTTGTCTTCGAGATACGTTCTTCGCACATCAGACGATGAAGAAGCTCGTTCAGTAGGCCAGCGCGGGATAGGTATTGTACTCAGCAACAGGGCGGAGTCCTCTCTTATCGATTGGATCCCTGTCAACGGTCATTAATGTAGAGTGCGTCTCCAGGGTTCAATCAGCGTGTGGAAGGGAAGCAACACCAAAAGGTGTTTGTTCATCGTATCAGCATATGCACCGACCAATTGCAGTTCTGATACTCAAGAGGACGCCTTCTACGACGAACTCACCGATCTCATTCCGATGAGTCGAAGCTCCGACACAGTTGTACTTGCAGGTGACTTCAACGCGCAGGTTGGAAAACTGGGCGCATCAGAAGCTCGCCTAGGCGGTAGCTGTGCTCTGCCCAGCCAACGAACAGACAACGGCGATCGACTTCTTCAGCTCTGCGCAGACCATCATGTGTTCCTAGAAAGCACCAACTTCCGACACAGCTCTCGACGGAAGGCAACGTGGTGCTCCAGTTCAACTGGTACGCTAACTCAAAACGATCATATAACAGTAAGTTACCGTTGGCGTGGTTCGGTGCAAAATTGCAGGTCCTATTGGAACACCTGCGTTGAGTCTGACCATGCATTAGTTTTGATGCAGTTCACTCTTCGACTGACTGTCCGGTGACGAATTCAGCAAACTTGTGCAGCTCATCATCGACTATCTGTTCCGGCAGTTCGTGTACGCTATGAATCAGAGCTAGTGCGTGAGCTAAGCGCACTCCAAAATGGTGATGTAGACGAGCAGTGGTATCAGATTAGGCGAGCAGAGCATTCCGCAGCGTATGCTGATTGTGGGTTTGAGCCTCAAATCCGTCGGAGGCATTCGATATCTCAGGAGTCAGTCGTTTTGATGGAGAAAAATAGACAAGTCCCGACCTGCCAGGATCAAAATAGAGTTAGGTCGCATCTGCAACACCAGCTCACGAAGAGCCTCAAGAAGGACCGTGAGAACTGGTGGGCAACAATAGCTAGTGAAATGGAAGTAGCGGCTGCATCAGGGAATAGTCAGTCTGTTCCGACTGATACGCAATACGGTAGGTCAGCGAACTCCAGTTATTGAAACAGTCTGCCACAAGAGGGGACAAGCTATTCACAATAGGGATCATCGACTCGATCGCTGGACAGAATACTTCAGCGAACAGTTCAGATGGCCTAGTGCTAACCAGGCTGCTTCATNCCGTGGGCAGTCATGTGATCCTCCAGCAAAAGCAAAGTTCGGTCTTAGATTCAAGCTCTGAAGCGAGGAAAGGCAGCAGGAACTGATGACTTTTGCACTTTTTGCATGATGGGGGTGATAACCTCGTAAGCTGTATTACTACCCTCCTGCGCAACATTTGGACGCAAGAACACATTCCTTCATCTTGGAGCGAGTCACTGATCGTTCCCACTTTCAAGAAAGGATTTTGCAACGATTGAGAAAACCACCGCTAGATTAGTTTGATCCCGATCGTCACTAAAGTGCTGGTTTCGGTTATACTTCGAAGTCTGATGCCTTTAAGAGAGGCCAACATCCGTAAACAGCGAACCGGATTCCGGCCTGGCCGTGGATGTATTGATCAATTTTTTACGTTGCGTCAGGTCCTTGAGCTGCGTCATACTCACCATCGGCCAACGATCGCAGTGTTCCTTGACCTGAAAGGAGCCTTCGACTCAGTTGACCGCGAAGCTCTGATGGGTTCTCTTGTTCGAAAAAAATGCCCCAGACGTACGTTAACTTACTGAGGTCACTGTACTCAAATATCGCCGGTCTTGTAAGGGTTTACAACAATCTAATTGGGCCGTTCGTCACCAGCAGCAGCGTCCGCCAAGGATGCCCCCTTTCGCCGTTCCTGTTCAATTTCGTCGTAGACGAAATACTGGAGAGCGCACTAAAGTGACTCCAAAGCGTAGGTATGGAATGGACAGCTGGAGTATGCCGATATCATCTGTCTGTTCGAATGTATGGGGGACACGCAAAGATCACTTGATAGATTAACAAGTGCAAATGTCACATTCGGCATGTGTTTTGCACCTGCAAAGTGCAGTGATGCTGCGGGACTGGGTTTCGTCTACTCCCGCTCTAAACTAAATGGCCAGAATTTAGTTATGGTGGATTGTTTTTCCTACTTAGGTAGTTGCGTGACCAATGACGATAGTGCAGTAAAGGAGATAACCGCCCGCATTTCAAGGGCTCGAGCAGCACACGCAGGACTGAAACACCCTTGGCGTAGACGCAACGTTTCACTGAAGCTGAAAGGTCGTGTATATTGTGCCACCGTTCGTTCAGTCCTGGTTTATGGTTGAGACCCTGCATTTGCGAGTAGAAGATATCCGTCGATTGGACGTTTTCGATTATCGGTGTTTACGTAGTTTAACCCATGTAGGATTCAGCTAACGGGTTAGTAATGTGGAGATAAGCCGTCGTGTGTTTGGGAGTCTATCAGGTATAAACCTGCTGGCACACCGAATTCAGATCAGTAGACTTCGCTGGCTAGGGCACGTATTGCGTATGCCCAGCTGAGGTCTGCCGCGCCGCGCTTCATTCGCTGTAGCTAATCCGGGTTGGAGAAAACGACGTGGAGACGAGGTATGAAGAAATGCACAGTCATTAGGTAAAGTAGGTGTCTCTCGCCTTCCAAGTTGGGGTCCGAAAGACACTACAACTGGTTGGTTGGAGACATTGAAGGATATGGCAGTGAACCCGCAGCAGTGGTGTTCTTGTTTTGTCACTTATCAGGTCAGAATGCTTGAAACGGTATATATGCAGAGTTCGATTGTGCACTGTGTGTTGACCATAGAAGTCCATCTTCTTCCCCCTCCCTCAAAATAGATCCATTCCCTGCCCACCTTAAATTTTACCACTAACCTTGTATGCATTGCAAGTTCGACAGCGATCAGTGAAGTTCGCCTCATTGTGTTTCGCTGTACGATGATGATGAACGTATGTTTCCCAATAAAGGTTTCCGGGT